TGTTTTCTGACAAGAAGAGAAACTCCTACTTCAAGGATCAAAGAGATTGGCGCGGGTTTATCTCCCTTATATCTCTGGTGTTTGAGAATTTGAAACAATGCATGTACATCGTCAACAAGGTCTTACTCAGAAGCAAACCATTTAAGATTTTTTATATATTTCTCATCATTCTCCCTCCATAGGTATTTGCTTTTTTCACAAGAGTTAAGTATCAAAAATTAAATAAAAATATTTATGAGTGAATACAAATGAATTAATTCAAGACAAACATATTCAATGCATTATGATTAGTATTCAAAAATAAGCAAGTTTTGCATACAAGAAAGTATTTAACCAAACAAGAAAGATTACAAATGAAAATGCAAATGTAATTTGAAATTGCCATGTTGAAGAGACTAGTCTCCGTATGGACTTGTTGCTTCAGAAGATACTCTGGCAGTCTTAACCATCACTGAGTCAAAGGAGAATTCAATATGACCAATTGGTGCGATAATGATAGCTTTTGCATCAAGCAAGTCTTACACTTCATCTTTGAATGGTTTACAACCTTCAGTTGAATGGCCAGGTTCCCCCGACATGGTAATCACGAAGGATATTCCCTCAAAATATGTGATGAATGCTTTATCAAGCGAAATTGCGTAAAATGCATCACAAAGTATCTTCTACCATAGAGAAGAAATTCCAACCATCTTCTACTACACATAAGAGAAAAATGAGCTACTGAATTCCGGAGAATCTCATACTACACAAAAGAAGCACCATTTTCTACTACACATAAGAAAAAATCCAGAAACTATAACAAAGAATCTTCTACTACATAGAAGAAACTAAACTATAAATGTAGAATTCGATCTTTGAGGTATTTTCCTTCTACACAACAGCAGATGTCCAAGATCTTGATGTCTTATATTTCTTCATCACAAATGCATCACCCCAGAAGGAAAAATCAACTAAGGAGAAAGAGTCTGAAACGGTTTGCCAAATATGAACTGAACCTTGGAAAAGAAGCCATACAAGTGGCGGATTTCATACTTCAACCTCTTACAATTTTCAGTATCATAACCAGGTACCCCGGGATGAGAGACACATCTAGTATTTGCATCAAAATCAGGAGAGAAATTTGTGGGAGAATGACCCAAAGCATGAAGCTTAACCAAATAAGCTTCCAACACACGAGGAAGTAAATGGATACAAGGTATATAGATGTTATCAACCTGCTTCTCAAGCTTTTTCCATCTCTGCTGATAAGCTTTTCCCCATGGATTCGCCTGGAGACCATTAACTAGTTGTTGACGAGAAAATATGGGAACACGAAATTCTGGGTGAGACCCAAAAAGTATCTCTCGATTTTAAAAATGTCTCATAGACTGGGGATGAATGACAACTTATGTTGTAACAAGATATATAGGATCACTTTCCTTTGCTGACAATGTCTTCAGAACTTCCATACCTGACTCGACTGGGTCTTCAACTGACAATTTTCCTTTTTCAGAAGTTCTTGACCACGGACCAAGGCCTGCATGTCTATAATAAACAACCCCATCTAATTTTTTTCTCACCCAATTCCCCACAAAGTTGTTCCATGGCTTTTTCGGATCACAGAGCAGTGAGAAGTCACGATTCATAATTCTGAAAAGAATACCGGGCCTGAATAAGAATTCCCCACTCTGAGTACCTGTTATAGGTGCATGAAGGTGCATGAGGTGAATGAGTGGATGCAATGGCATGTTCAATCAATTTCAAGGAACCCACGTGCTTTTAGTTTCTATTTTAATCTAGTAAGAGATGGACAAACACAACATAATGTTCACAAGAACGATTCCTTGGAAATAGAAAGAACACGTGTTAACTTTTTCATGCATAACCAAAGAACCATAGTCACCAACAGAACAATATAGTCACCATCAGAACATAGTCACCATATGTACCTGTAATAATCAGTCATCTCGCCCCACTCACAGGTGTAACCCAGGTCAAGGTAAGGTCATGGATAATCTGAATCATAGGTCACCTGAAAGTATTATCATCATGAACATCTGTGATGCTGACAATATCTTACTTGAACCTCAACTGACCGTGGCTTCATGATTGAATGGTTACAGGGCATACACCTATCATCCGTCATAACTCTCACCTCTATTACTAGTGTTCCTAGTGGTGTACAACTCTGGCCTGGGTTTTGGGCCTTTTACTTCTTGTAACACCCACCCACATAGAGACAAAGAAACAATTGTACCACCAGCATATGGAAAGCGATAAAATGCATGCACAAACATATGCATGCAATGTATATAAAGCTGTAAATAACTGGAAGTAAATAAACACCCAACGCAGTAAACAAACAAGAGCTAGGATCGACTCCGGGATGGACCAGCAATAGGTCAACCTTTCATCCCCAGTGAAGTCGCCAGCTGAAATAACAGACTAAACAAATCATCGAGATGAAATCAATGAAGTCTCCATTGAACATTTTTTAACCCACAGGAAGGGAAAGGTAAACATCGAGTAAACCTAAGAAGAGAGAAATCACGATCAACCCACCGAGAGATCGGGTAAGGGAGTCTGTTACGCGAGGGGAAGGTATTAGCACCCCACACGCCCGTAATACTCTACAGTACCCACTTTTGTTGTTATAATCAAATGGTGTGTTTCAAGTCTACAACTTAAGATCTAAAATAAAATGTAAAGAGGGAATGCATGCAAAAGAAAAGAGAAAATAATGTAGGTAAAATAAATTTATGCTCGCTTGGGCCCTACCCCAATGCCTACGTATCCTTTTTGAGGAATAAAAGTTACCATAGTTTGACTCACGTGTTTTGATTTGTTTGTATTTTCTAATGAACAATATTAATTTCGCCTTTTGTTGCAACCCGACCTTTGGAGATTTACGCGTCAGCACAGAAGTGAATTAACATGTTCTACCTAACAAGGTATTTGCAAAGAAAAATTCCTGAAGGCGGATAATGCTACATTCGTGCTCTAGCAATTTAGACATAGTGCCACCCGACCTTTGGGGATTTACGTGTCGTGTTGCGTATAGTATAATTAAAACATCCTTTTGAAGTTTGAAAGAAAGGCCCGAAGGCGAGAAGATTTTGTATTGGTTGATATTTTTTACCTTAAAGAAGGATTTGAAAGTTTTTAAATGTTTTATGCATTTTCCAAGAAAAGAGTTTTAGTCTTAATGCAATGATGCAAAAGAAAGAAAAACATCTAAGGAAAGCTAGGTAGAATCTAATCCCTAATGTTATCATACAATCGTTAATCCTAAAGTTGAGTTTTGAAAGATAAATCTCTACCATATGTTAGCACGCATGGATCACAATCCTAATGTCTATCTCGAATCACCACCAAAGGATGAATCAAGAAGTCCTAAGGGAGCATAACAAAGGTTCATAACCTAAACTTATATCTATCTTGAATCACCACCAAAGGGTGAATTAAGAGCTCCTAAGGGAACATGCCAAAGGTTCACAACCTAAGAAAACATACACACAAGGATGGAAAGCAAGTAATTAATAAGCTCAAGAGAGCACACACATGTCACGAGTAGTGCACACTAACTCGGGTAAAGGCCTAACCAAGATGTAAATGATCGAGGTAGGTACAAAATACAGTAGGGATGCTTTAGCCAAGGAGTCATATCAATCGAGGAAAACAAGCAGAAATGGGATATGGGAAGCTTTAGCCAAGGGGTTATATCAACCGAGGCAAACAAGCGAGGATGGGATAGAAAAAACACGGAGCGTCAACGTCGTCCAATGTGAGCTCAAGACAAAATGTAGGGATTTAATTGCGAAACCCTTTTCCACTTGATGACTCGATAATAAGAGTAGGCACAACTCCTAAGCATCATGGTGCATCACGAGCTAAGGATGACACAGACGAAATGCAGAGGTTGAATGTGAACCTTTTCCGCTTGCCTCCTTTTGAGGACTTCAATAAAGGATGGGGGAATATATGTGAGCATAAATGTAAACACACATGCATAATATCTACTTCAAAGGTAGAATTTTAAACAAACAAAAATAACATACAGAAAGTGGTGCCTGTCATAGGACTTTAAACAGCGACTTCGAGTGCACGCTCTTTATTTCCTAGTTCTCATGATATCTAGAAAGAAGTAAAGTGCTGAAATGAGATAAACCAAAAGAAAATACCAAACGAACAAAAGTTCGTAGCACAACAAGCAAAATAGAGAAACTCGGAAAACTTCGAGTAAGCTTCACCAAGCAACAGAGAAGGGTCTGAAATCAAAGGTTCGGAATAAGCGTTGAAGCATCGTCGATGTGAAAATAAATCACAATCGAAAACTCAAACATATCCGCATATCACACAATAAACCTGCATAAGGCTCATATCTCGACAAACAAAGGTGAATCAAAAATCTCAAATAAACAGATAATCATGAATCAATTCCTAAAATCAAATAATAAAAAAATTAACAAATTTTTATTGACTTAATCATTTTTTATCACAAAGAAAAAAAATAGAAAAAATTAAAAGAAAATCCTAAATTCTTCATTTTTTTTTTCCTTTTATCACTAAATTTTTGTTAAAAAAGTTTAAAAGAAAATTTAAACTAAAATAAAAAACTAAAACAATTAGAAAGAGTCACAGGGTAAAAATTGGAATCCACGCGTGTATTGAAGCAAAACTAGGCACTGCAAGCCCATAACTATTTGTCCAGGAGCATGCTTTTTTTGTTTCAGCTATCTCAAGTGTGCCAAAAACTATAACGGACTTAGGGGTGTGATCTGAATACAATGCTATCGTATAGCTATTAAAATATTGGCTCTAAGCCCAGTCGATGAAGCACTTTCCCTCCAGGATCCAAAAAATGGTGATACGAGCCTAGTGATTAGAAAAACCGGTCCACCACCTAAAATCCAACTCTGATTTCAACATATTATCTCTAAGCTTATTCATATTTTTTTATTGGATTTCAATTAAAATGGCGATAACAGAATAATAATAAAAAAAAGAAAATAAGCATAAACATGAAACGGTGCGTCTCGTGTAAGGTTATAACTTGTGACCCTTCATCTTCTTATCTAAGAGAACTCGCTTCCTCTCTTCCAAGTTCAGACGGCGCGGCACTCTCAGGCAACAATTCCGCCGTCTTCACCGTTTTATTTCTCGGCCACCTTCTCCGATGCATCAACAACATCTCCGATTCCATTCGTCACACATCGATTCAGACAAAACTCAACACATAGGCCACCGATTCGTAACACAGAGGGACGAAAATGATAAATGAGTTGAAAGTTTACCTACCGGAGAAAATCCGGTGATTCTTCAAGCTTTGATGAAATCGAAGAGAAAACCGGAGAATAATGATCTAGGTATGCATACGCTTTCCGATCTTGATTCTACTTCTTCTCTTTCTATCTGCACTCTCTGAGTTGGTTTTAATGCGATAGTTCCGATGGAGATTGAAGAATCTTGAAATATGCGTGATGTTCGGAGAATCATTGCGTTGATGATGAAGAGTGAGGAAGCTTGGCAATATTGCGGTGGAGATGGTGATAGTTACAGATTGTTGAGGACGATGCTTGAAGATGATGGCGCGGCATAATTGATGTTGTTGAAGCGGTTATTGCAGAGAGAACAAAGAAGCTTTTTTTCTGGTTTTTTGTGATTCTTCTCAGATTGAAGAATTGAAGATGAAGATGAGAGGAGAAGAGAGAGTGTTTTTGGTGATTCTTCAGGGTGTTGAAGAATGAAGATCAGAGTAGAAGAAAGAGAGAATTTTCTGTGATTCTTCGGAGAATTGAAGAATGAGAATCAATGCAAGGTAAATTATGTTATAAATCTGTTATGAGTTTGTTAGGATTGAATTAATCTGAACCGTTAGATCTCGATTTCTGTTAGGAGAATGAGTGGTTAGGATTAATCATTTAGTTTGATTTAGCTAAAACTGTTATGGAATCGATTATGGATAGTTAGAAAATTGGTTATTGAGTTTAGGCTTTCTGTTATGATAGTAGAGGGTTGATTTGTATATGTAATTTTGTTAACAACTGTTAGTTCCTGATTTTTCCTGGTTTGAACAAAATGCAGGGCTGGAGTTTGTTGTTTTTGTTGCGTTAATGTACAGGGCCACAATTGTTATTGTGGTATCAGTTTGTAAAACCTCGTAATGCTTAGGACATTCCACGACCTTGTAAAACCTCGTAATGCTTGTAATCTTGAATGCACCTTTCCTTTGAGGGAACTTTGAAAAATGTTGAATGGATTTTTCCCTTTGTAATGTATTAGAAACTTGGATAAATGGAAGTTTGAGTGAATTGTAACTTGAAAATTGGATGATGTAATTCTTTTGTAATCTTGAACATTCAAATTGATTTTGAACTTCCAAGTTCTTTTCGACCAATATTTCCTTTAAATGCATTTGTATGAATTTAAATAATCATGGTATAAATCTAAAATATTTGCAAGGTTACCAAAAGAGACGTGGATCTTGAATGAATCTTTGAAAGGCTATTTGGATGACACTTTGATAATTGGATGAAATAAATGAATTCGACGCATGTTTTTTTATACTTGTGACTTGAATTCCAAGAAATGCCACACTGAGTATTTAAGAACTGTGATTTTCATCAAATCCACTTCAAATATTAATGAATGAAATCCAATTCAAACTACAACTTCAATGAATCCCTAATTCAATTCAATTCCCCAATCTAAATCAAATTTGCATGTCAAGCAATAAGCATTAGAAAGAATGCTACCTTGAATTGGTGAAAGATGGATACCAAATAGATATTACCAGATAAACCAAAATTTTGACCAAAGGATGAATACCACTTGATTATAATGAGGAGAACTCCTCAGATGAAAACCAAACCAAGCCCAAACACACCAAGGATTAGAAACCCTAATTCATGCTTGCATCACCAACCCCTAAAATATTGCATCCTAAGGCAAAGTTGACTGGAAAAGCATCTTTGAACCCTGATATCCAGATCCCTAATTCCATGATCTTTGAAGAAGAAATCTAAATTGGAGCACCATAGCTGCGAAATCATAACTTTGATCACACATAGGTAAGTAAACCCTAATCCATGATCCTGTAGAATCTCAAGAGGAAGTCTATAATGTTAGGGAAATAAACCCTAAATCTCGATTCCCGAATCTCGGTTGAGATCGATCTTCGAGGTGTATACCCTTTAAACCACGTGAAGCCCTAGCTCACATAACCATCGAACTTCGAAGTTCATGGTACTTTATTGAATGCAAATGTATGTTATCTTAGTGACCTAATAAAAAGATGTGAATGCAACGTTAAGCCTAAGTCAAATAAAAGTACAATTAGGAGGGGAAATTTTGGAGTGCAATAGAGATGCCATTCCAAGTCTTGGAAGTGGCTACAGTGGTTACGCTCCCGGTAGACAAAGTATCAAAACCTGGAACCCCTATGGCATCATGGAGAGATTTATAAACAGTTGTGGAGGATCAAACATCTAAAGGTTGGGGTAAGCTTGTTGAGATACATGAGAAGAAAGATCACTTTGGTTTGGGCTATCGACCGTCAAAGACTACTAAGAAAGGAAAATGGCAGTTTCCTCCCATCCAGGAAACCTTCGTCAGCAAAGGAGTAGAGTATGAAGTGTCAATATTATCCAACAAAGGCGACAACAAAAGAGCATCTAACCTCATATGAGAATTTTCTCCAGGCAAAGAACTCAAGAATTGGACAGTTGTGGAGATTCTAGAGATCTTTTTTATTTCCAAAGTAATTTTTATGTTTTTTTAAAGAAAATATATCCCGCCCGAGGCATAGGGGTAGCTTGTAAGGGCCCCCATTTATTCTCAAACAATGTTTTCAATTAATAAAAGTTATGTTTGCATTCAATTAAGATCCCTATCTTTTTCTTGCATTTCCCTTTTATTTTTCAAAATGACAATACTTTCGCACTTTCCAAAATCGCATTCTAGAAAGCACCAAAACATGATAAAAATATGCAGATCCTCATCTAAACTCACTGATAATGACACTGCTTTGATCCGATATGATTTTGATGCGCCAATTAACCAAGCTGAAGAGGAAGATGAGGAAGATCTTAAACTCTACAAAGAATTGGCGAGGTTACGAGAGCAAAAGATAGTAACATTCAACCGTACCGGGAATCTATTGAAACCATTTATCCCGGGACCGAAAAGGACCCAAAAGAGATCAAGATAGGTGCAAGCTTGGAGGAAAGTGTTAGAGAAAGGTTTATCAAGCTCCTACATGAGCAAGTGGATATATTTTCCTGGTCTTACCTAGATATGCCAGGATACAAATATCATGGTACATAAACTACCTCTCAAATAAGGTTGTTCTCCTATCTAACAAAAGTTCAGAAGAACTCGTCCAGATATGTCTGACAAAATTCGAGAAGAATTCCTCAAGAAATTTGATGTAGGGTTCCTAGCCGTGGTAGACTATCCACCTTGGATAGCTAACATCATGCCGGTACCCAAGAAAGATGGAAAAGTACGAATGTGTGTAGACTATCGAGATCTAAACAAAACAAGTCCTAAAGACTATTTCCCGTTACCTCACATAGAAGTTTTAGTGGACAATATAGCTCAAGCTTCAATATTTTCTTTCATGGGTGGTTTTTTAGGATATAATCAGATCAAGATGGAATCCGAGGATATGGAAAAGACTACTTTCATGACTCCTTGAGGCACCTTCTATTACAAAGTAATGTCATTCGGTCTAAAGAACGCAGGGGCAACCTATCCACGATCAATGGTCATGTTATTCCATGACATGATCAATAAAGAAGTCGAGGTATATGTGGATGATATGACTTCCAAATCTAACACAAAGGAGGATCACGTCATTCACTTGCAGAATTATTTGAACGTCTACAGAAATTCAGACTGATGTTGAATCTGAACAAATGTACATTTGGTGTCAGGTCAGGCAAACATTGAGTTTTATTGTAAGCCAGCGAGGTATTGAGGTAGATTCCGACAAGGTGAAAGCCATACAAGAAATTCCATCTCCAAGGATAGAAAAAGAGGTTCATGGTTTTTGGGATGATTGAACTACATCTCAAGGTTCATATCGCAACTAACTGCCACGTGCGAGGCTATATTTAAACTACTCAAAAAAAGATCAATCAGTGGAGTTGAATGAAGACTGTCAAACAACCTTCGAAACAATAAAGCAGTATTTAAAAGAGCCACCAATTCTGATGCCACCTGTTCCTGGGAGACCGTTTATCATGTACTTGACAGTTCTTAAAGGATCTATGGGATGTGTATTGGTTCAACACGACGAAACAGGTAGAAAAGAGCACATCATCTACTACCTAAGCAAGAAATTTATTGAATGCGAAACTCAGTACTTACTTCTCGAGAAGACTTGTTATGCTCTAACTTGGGCCACCAAACGACTGAGACAATATATGTTAACTCACACCACATGGTTAATATCAAGAATGGATCCTTTGAAGTATGTGTTTGGAAAGCCAACTCTCATAGGAAGAATTGCTTGATGGTAGATGTTGTTATCCGAATATGACATCCAATGAAGTTTGACTTTCCAGACGAAGACATCATGGTTATAGGTGAATACGAAATACCAAGCCCTAAAGAAGGACGTGAATCGAGGGCATGATGGACACTCACATTTGGCGGTGCTTCAAATGAACTAGGACATGGTATTGGGGCTGTACTGACATCTCTAAAGAATTTTCATAAACCTTATACTACAAGGTTATGTTTTGATTGCACCAATAATATTGCTGAATACGAAGCTTGTATCTTGGGTTTAGAAGCTTCCATTGACCTAAGAATTAAATACCTCGAAGTATATGGAGACCCAACATTAGTCATATACCAAGTCAATGATGAATGGGATACTCGACATCTTAAATTAATTCAATATCGGGATTATGTTCTAGAGATAGTTACAGAATTCATGGAGATTACTTTCACTCACATTCTGCGAGAAGAAAATCAGATGGCAGATGCCTTGGAAACTTTGTCAGCCATGTTCAAAGTAAGTTGGACAACACATGAACCACGCATCACGATCAAACACTTTGAAGAGCTGGCACATTTTCTCACAGTTGAAGAATAACCAGATAATAAACCTTGGTTCTACGATGTCAAAAGGTATATAGAAAAGAAAGAATATACAGAAGGTGCCTCAATTATAGACAAGCAAAATCTACAAAAGCTAGATGCAAAGTTTTTCTTAAATGGTGATGTATTG